GGTGAGACCGGTCACCTATCATAAGGGAGTGGTACACGATGTGCGTGAAAAAGTCATAGTTAGTTGACTATCAGTGAACAGAATTACCGATTGATTTTCTATATCGGTAAGGTTATCACGGATCCGTATCTACATGTTTGTTTGCAGAGTTAGTTTGGTATATGCTCTGATTTATACAATGGGTGCAGACGGAAACTGGTGGTACCAAACTAATGCTACTTTCGGTAGGCAGGATAGGAGGAGGATGCAAGGACTGAGGGTTACAACACTTAGTTCTTTCTTCATTCTGGCGGATAATATGATGCACTCACGGTCTGAAGCAATTTTTAAAGGTCAGGAGGAGGGACAAAGTGGTTTTCTTCTAGTCTAACAAAATTAGATGGTCGAGATGGATCATCAGAGATCACAAAATCCTTGCAGTTATTTTCTATACTGAGGAGGAAATGATAGAACATCATTACAGATTTAGTTGAGGGTTGAGTTATAAATTAAATCAGCTCAGATCTTGTTTATTTCGAACTAGTGAACTATCAGTTCATATGAATAGAGGGGATTACAAGATGACTTAGATGCATCAACGTGGTGATTCGCACTTTGCGTTAAGTTCTGTCTAGTGGAAAGGAACATGGATGAGGACGCTTGTAACAACCGATAGGAGTTTTTCGTTAGTTGTTACATTAGGAGTTAGGGGTCTTAGTTTGTGAATTAATGACATTTGCTTTTATCAAGGAAATTAAGGGGGGTCAACCTCCAATGTCGGAGCTGACCCTGGAGGCAGTGTTACCTTATTCAGAAAAGAGCTTAAGGTACTAGGGGAGGATTCGTTGATTCGGTGAGTGTTATCGGGAGTGACTGAGGTGTAAAATTCGTAGAAATTTTCTCGATGCACACGGACGGTTATAAGGAACATCAAGACATCAAATGTCAGTTCTAGTAAATGGATAACCAAATCTCATTAGTGATTTTTGCCATTGCCTAAATTAAAATGGGAGTAGGACTAATCAGAAGTGGAAGGTTGGTAGAACTTGTCGATATCTATTGGAATTTTAATTCCATACGGATTAAGAGTGGCGGATTGAGCAAGTTTGCTGCTAGACCTAATTCTCGTAATGTTCACTTTGGTATTTCGCATTAGTTCTACATTGCATTTATAACGGAGGTATAGCTGTGCTTCATATCTCTCGACGAGGGATTGAATCGGGAATGTATATTCGATCATGGAGGAGAATTTTGGGATAGGTATCCTAGGTTTTTATGGGAAGTTGGAAGTGCTTATTTCACTTCTCATATTGTTGGCACAAGGAGGATAGTATGACAACGTAGAAGGTTTTGTATTTTATATGGTGCAGACCACTTACCTATTGGTTTGACATGGAAGCGGGGGTTATACAATTAGACCCTAACTTTATTTAATGATACGTTTAAGAGATATATGCTTCTTTATGTTGGATTGCGCGCAGTTTGGAGGCAGTAGTAGGATGTGGTAACTAGTTCCGCTTGTACACTATAGTGTTTCCTATCAGGAAACAGTTGATTTGGAATGTCTTCCATATCGAAAGCAAGGAGCGTTATTAAGGAAGGTCAGTTCTTATGTATTAATTAAATTGACTTCTCATGGATGGTTTTTCTTCATTTAGGCGGTAGCCTATTGATTAGTGTTTTCAAACATTGGGATGGGCTGCATAGAAGTTTTACACATCTATGCTATGGAATTTGGAAGAATATGGATATTCACCCTATATCAAAATTTGGGTCAGAATGCGTAGTTGCTACATACAATTTAAGTGTTGAATAATTTTTGTGTTTCCTTTATATTGGACCCATAAATTGTTCTTGGAAGATTTGGAATGTGGGGGAGCCTATACACAGAGGCAGAGTCCACAACGAAACGGAAATGAATTTTAAAATAATTCAAGGTTTCGTGAATTCCGAAGACGAAATTCCGTTTGTTAGGGGGGAAGAATGTAATACCCCTAGTTTTAAAAAGGATAAAATTGGAATTTAATTATTTTTATTTCATTTTTATGTGACTAGTTGCTTGGGTGTTTAATTGTTTTCTTTCATTATTTGATTTAATTGTGTAATTTAATTAGTTATTTGATTTAATTGAATTGGTTTATTTGGTAAGTTGATTTAAATGATGTAGTTTTAATTCTTTGATTTACTATTTTAATTTAATTATTTGTTTTCATTTCTTTATTTAAGATTAGGGTTTTATTTGGGACGTCATATAGGTATCTGTTATATATGTATATGATTAGGGTTTTATCGGCCGACTCTAGTTTGATTAGGGTTTCTGTCTTGGCTCTAGTTTAATTAGGGTTTTCTAAGTGCCTATATATATACGTGTATGAGTTTTTACTGAGGGTTGGGAGAACCTTATTCACGGCACAGTGGAAATAAAACAGAACAAAGAGAGAGTTGAGAGAACAGAGGAAATCGTAAGAGCTACCAAGGAGAAGAATAGAGAGGATCAAGGGAGGGTTGTGGTGGATTAAGTCAAACCCATAGGAGGCTTGAAGGAAGTTAGCAGTTGCCGGAAACTTAGAGACGACACCGAGATTTCATTATTGAAATCACAGGCAAGTTCACTTCCTCCTTCCCTCTGGCTTGTGTTCTGTGCACCTAGATAATCTCTAGGGTTTAATTAATTTTTAAATCGGAACTTACATGCTTGCTATATAATATATTGATGATCTTTACGTGTTAAATTTGATTATGATATAATGCGTGCAAGCTTGTTTCAAGCCTTGATCAGTTTTCTGTTTTAAGTATGTTATGTTGTTAAGCAATTTTAGTCTCTGTAATTGCCTTTAACCTCTGTAAATAAATCATGGGGATGTTACTATGATGATATAAGATCTTTAGGTTCAGGGGTAAAGAGGAACAGAGGGGTTAGAATGGAATGGACGTTGTAAGTTAGCTTAAGTTTCGTACTGTAAACATGCTAGTTTAATGGCTAAATCTAACCTCTGTAATTGGTCCCAGTTATTGTGAACAACCTTGGGGATGCTTCTAAACTCAATTAAGACTCCTAAGATTAGTTTTAGAACCCAGCAGAGTTGTAGGAATTGATCAGAGAGGGAGCAGACGGACTGAAACGGAGCAGAACGGGGACGAAGGCTCTCAAAGGAGGTGAGAGCCGGCTCCATGGATGTGGGAGCCGGCTCCCACAACAAGTAGAGCCGGCTCTAAGGACTCCTAGAGCCGGCTCTGGGCTGAAAGAGCCTGCTACCAAAATTTGGAGCAGGCTCCATCTTCAATTTTTATTTTTTTTTGTTATTTGTTTTAGTGTTTTTTTTGCGTACTGTTAACACTGTTAGAGCATGGAGACTATTTGAGTGAATCTAGAACTATACAGAGGGATTAAGGAATGAATTTTGAGTGTTATTAAGACCCTAAATTGATTAAAGTTTAATTCTAAATTAACGGAACAAACCGTATAAAATTTATGCACATTGTATACGGTTAATGGATGGATGATGATTTAAATGCTTAAGCTTATTTTTTGGATTTTTCCAGTGGGATCTATTATGTTGGAAAATTGTTCTAAATGCAATATAGGGTCGTTGATGTATTGAAGTTGATCTATACATGCTTTGGAGGCTAATTGTTGAAGTATTAAATCCGTTATGCAACTATATGGATTAATGCTTGGTTTAAAATTGCTAAAGCATTAATCAATCTTCTGCAGTTATTTTAGCAATGTATCGGACTATGATATGATTATAGAATTTATTTAAATACATGATAGAGTCATTGATATATTAAATTGGATCTATGCATGCTCTGGATATTAGTTGTTGATTTATTAAAGCATTTCTGACAACTATATGGTTAAGTGCTCGGATATAAATTGCTGAAATTTTAAACATATTTCTGCAATGATTTGGATATTGGTTTTAGACTGTAAATTACTAGTCCATTATTTATGTTTTGTAATTTACATGGATATGGAGGATTGTATGCACCGGTATGGGAAGATGACATACTGGGGACGGTTTAGCTCAAAACGCATAAACCTAACTTAATGGATTAATGGAATGGATTGAAAGATATTGAATCCTAATTGTGACTAAGTCAGATCAACTGCAACTAAGTTGGATGACTTCCTGGATTAATGGATGGTAGTTATGTCATATCAACTGAATAGGTTTAGTGACTAACTAGTTGGTTTATTGTAATCAGTTTAATAAATATTTGAACTACATACCCTGGTTTTGGACGGACTTTATATATATGTTTATGGTACCACGAGATGAGCTTGAGCCTCAGACTCATTGGTTAGGGTGCGTATATGCAGTGGATGCGTAGCTGGCTATAGTAGGTTGAGGCGTACCTTGTTAGGTCTAGGTATTCATGCCCACCTTTGGGTGCGTTTTCGCATGTTGCCTTCTATTCAGGTTGAGACCCCTACTGTAGTCCAGTGAATGTCCCTTAATGTGGATATATATATGTATGGACTAGATGGCTATTGTTGAGATATCTAGGGTGTATCTGCATATCGAGTCACTATTTGGATTGTAGTTAGAGAAGAATTTGCATGTGGGCCTGACCCACTCTTATTTTTACAGGTGTTTGTTAGTTCCAGACTTGGAGCTGGATCGTGCTGAGCAGATACAGTTATTCACTCCACCGATGACCAGGGTTTTATTTCATATTTTAGACTTGGGTTTCGTTTCCAATCTTTTGAGTTCAGTGAGATATATTAAGGGTCCACTAGATGAATTCCCGAGTTGTAATAGAAATGGAGAAGTAGGATGTAACAGACTAGTTCTTATTTATCAGATTTATTCTGAAGTTTTCAATAAAGGATTTTCATTTAGTTTCTTTCCAACGAATTTCATTTACTCATGTTTATCTTAATTATATTCTGTGTTCGATTATTGCTAATTTGTTTGATATCCTCAGGTAGTTGGGCGTGGGCCTGGCCAAACCGCATCTGAAAATCCGGGAGTATCAGAACCCCCTTTTTGCAAAATGGAAGCATGAAAACTTACAATCATCTCCGAAGCAACAGCATCAGTAGCTTTGCCATCCTTATTTACATGTGTGCAGATGAATAAATCTGCACGAGAAAGCTGAATACCTTCGTCTTCCTCAATCTATAAAAGAATACATTGTGATATATATTATTTACCACTAACATTTATAATCATTCAACGACATAAGAATTGAAATAATTTATATTTTCTATAAAAACTTCAACTAACCTCGGCAGAAACACGTGCAAAGCTTTTTGTCCCTGTAGTATGCATCATTGTTTGCTTCCCACGACGTTCTTTATTTTTTTTGCTGACCTCCTACAAAAAGTGAGAAAAAGTAAAAGTTCTTTGAGTAAAGAACATTCCACCTAAAATAATGACTGAAAGCAAGTAAACTATAAATTCAACTCATTGACTTCAAAAAATATTGTGATAGATGGAGGATTATCTTCGCCATAGGCGTACCCCAATGCCTAACCAAAAATTCCCAATGCTCCTTTTCAACATTAGGTGGTGGGTTTGCCAATCTTTCTTCATCTGTATCCTTAACTGAGTAGTATTCATTTTTCAACTCACACTTGTACCCCCTCCATTTTTTTCCGATGGAGGATATTGTCCACTGTTTTGTCATGATTCCCACATCATATTTTCCCTAAAAATGTGATAATTGTTGTATGTTAGTCCACTTTTTCCATAAAAATTATTTTAATGTTATTGAAGGGTTTTACCTTTATAATGTTCCACATATCCTCCTTCAGCCGTTTAGGCATCTCCCACCAAGTTTTGTAGCACAAAGGAGCTAATTCACCCTTCCAGGCAAGTGTTCCCAGATAATTAGTATATGTACCACTCCCAAGACCGATCGGCTGTCCAAACTTATTAACTCTAAACAAAAATTAACAATTATAGATGTTTAGTACAAAAATAAAGATAGAAATCCTTTTTTCTCCTTCATATTGAATATAGTCTAATTATGTAAACTATATAAGATGATCTATATATATCTATATGTACCTTAAAGGTAATAAGGTTTTCGCGTCTATGACATTCTTGCATCGTGTCGGACCCCGTCTCTTCTTCGGCGGTGGTTGGGATGATTTTGAAGTTGAAGCTTCAGTATTTTGTTCACTCACTTTTTCCATTTCACTAACCGTTCGTTTCATTGTCAACTTATTATTTATCCTTCCTAAAAAAACAAACAAAAAAGTGAGAATTCAGTTAAGAGAATGTAATCAAATTGTTGAAAAAAGACAATAAAATTGTAATTCAACACAACATCTAAACATCAGCACGGGCAATTTAATAACTATGACACAGTGGTAATTATTGACTCTTGTTCCAGGTCAAAGTATTAAGTTGGATCCAATGCAACCGATTACAAGCCAATCTGTAATGCCATCGAGAATCGATGAATAAAATAGCTAATGGACGATAGATATATAGTTGAGCAAGATCAACAAAGTCAACTTATTATTTATCCTTCTTGGAAAAGCAAACAAAAAAGTGAGAATTCAATTAAGAGAATGCAATCAAATTGTTAAAAAAAGGTGGTCCAGGAAAAACCAATAAAAAGAAATAACAAATACCTCAAAACTTTAGGGTATTTATGGTTGTCCAATGGAAATTATATAAAACCATTCTAATTAAAATTAGACCGTTCTGTGGTTTTTAATTATTTTTCTAAACCCAATTGTTAAGTCAAACATCAATGCTAATACAAATATGAATATAGATATAAAAAGCAATCCTAACCAAAGCAACCAAACATCAAAATAGTCTTGCAGAGAGAAACTAAAATAATCCTAACCAAAGTCTGTATTATAAAAAATCTTATGTACAGTAAAAGATCAACTATATATATACATATATATACTAAGTACAAAAAATTCGTTTGGAAATAAAAGAAAAATAAAATTCAAACCAAAAATTCATTTCATAAAAGAAAAAAAAAAAAACATTAAAAAAAAAAGTAATGCCGAAAGAGAGACAAAGTAAAACAAAGTTGAAGCCTAGGGCTTCAACTTTGTAATCTCAGATGAGATAATGCCGAAAGAGAGATGGGTTAGCAAACATCAATCAAGTAATTCCATCAAGTACAATGGAGGACAAAAATACGTTAAAAAAAAAAAAAGAAAAGAAGAAGTAAACATTTTTGCAAAAAGAAATCAATTTTCTGGACCATTATTCTAGAAATTTCTATAATAGACCTTGATTAATATGGTATATAGAGGTGGATAATTGCATTACAAGAGATTGATACACTCGGTCTATTTTAACCCCTAAAAAAGAAAAGGTCTCTGAAGATTATCTTGGAGCTCAAATAGAATTCTATATTAAATAAAAGATACATTTAACATTTGCTAAATTTTGCTTTTGAAGTTATATATTTAGTGAATACAGAGAAGACATTTACTCAACTTAACAAACATTTCTCAACTAAGTCAATTAAGTAAATCCTATTTTCCAATCCTGTTTCATACAAGTTTAGAATTCATTTGCATCTTGTTAGTTATCTCGTTAATATGTAATCATTTTCAAGAAATTGCAGAGTACCTACCCTGTAAGTGCAATTCTCAAATATCTAATTTTGAAAATTTTACTGTGGCACAGTTAAAAGCACATATATGAAACTATTTCTACTTATTCCGAGCACGTGCTCTTTCTTACAAATGGAGGAACTGAGATTTACAGTGATGTGAGAAGGAATTCGTTGGAGGAAGCAATAAAGGTGTGCTTAGAAGGTGGTTTGCAAGGCATTGTTTCAGAAGTTAAAGGAATCTTTCGGAATCCAGCAGAAATAACCAAGATTAAAGCGTCTAAGCTTTCTCTCCTAACATTAAGCAAATTGAAGTAAGTTGTTTGTCTCACTCATATTAGAAAGATAATTTGTGTAGTTGAATCATTAATTTTAGGGTACTGACTAGGAAAATGATGTTTGCTTGTAGTAATGTGGCGGAAGCAGTCTACTTGCAGCATCTAATGGGTGTGGATGACGTGATTGTTGATTTGGTTCAGGAAATTACAGAGGCTGTTACCAACATGATTAAGCCATCGGAGGTGGTGGATGAAGGAGAGATGATACTTTTGGAGGGGTTGGAGCAGATTCAAATTGAAGCCAAACCACAGTTCTCACAAAGGAAGCTGTCATTTCTGTGGAAGTTGATACCAGAATTAATACAGCTTTAATATATATATATATATATATATATATATATATATATTCAATTCTTATACATTAAAATACATTAGAGATGGAAAAAGGCCAGCCTATGTACAAACAGTTTAGAGGAACTCTGGCTACCTCCATGCTTCAAAATTTAGGTAACAAGTTTAGAGGGAAAAACCTAGTGAAAGTCTTTTCTTGCTACTCTTACTTGAACATTGTACTACTTTTGAGATAAATATAAGCCAATAATGTTCAATAATTTGTTCAAATGTTACTTTGGTTTATTAGAAGCAAAATTGTGGCAAATTAGTTTTTATAAACACATTATACTTGTTGGATTTGGGCTGAATTCAGATTCGCTCGCCCTAAGTTGGACCCTATTTCTTTGACTAAAACTTGGTTTCCAATTTTCCAAATGCTCATCTACTTATAAATAAATAAATAAATCAAAATAAGAAAAAACATAATTCAAGGGTTCATTTACTTGTAAACTGTGGAATCACATAAAGCCACGTTCAGTGTGGAAACAATAATTATTCATGAAATAAAAAAATAATAATATAAAAAATCATAGAGAAATATTAAATGTCTTATTAGTTCAACTAGTAAGGCCTTTATGAAAAAAACCATGTCTTACCGGTTCAACTAATAAGACCTCTATGAAGTGGAAACTCTGTTTTGGTCTCTGATCTCTTACCAGTTCATCTAGTAAGACCTTTAAGAAGTCAAAACTCCATTTAGGTCTCTGATTCAAGAAGGACGCATGCATTTGGAATTTGCCGAAAAATGAAAAAAAAAATTATAAAAAGATAATGGAAATAAATGTGAACGTGTAAGGAAATACACTTACAGCCGCCTTGAGTATATATTACACCTTTCTTTTCTTTTCTTTTCTTTTCTTGTTAGTCTCATTCGCTTATATTATAAGCCTTATAATTTTTTTTATTTTTCTATTTTCTTGAGGAATTTATATTACACCCATTTTGAATCACTGATTAAGTAATTCGCTTGTATTAAAAGCCTTATATATATTTTTTTTTGTGTTTCAAATAAAACACTAAAATAACATATATTTATATAAACACTAAAATCCCCAAATCAACAAGTATCAAAACCTCCTTCAATTTTTGATTTTCAAACATGAACTCATATATTTATATATATAGATATATAGGATGAGAAGAGGGAGACGACTTACCCGAGGGAGAAGAGAGGAAAAAGAGGAGAATCCGAGAGAGAGAGAGACCGAACTTCGGCCAGAGAATCAGCCGGAGAAGAAAACCAGAAGAGGCGAATCGGCGGCGAGACACGGTCTTTCTCCTTAGTCAAGAATCATCTGATTGTGTGCGCTAGGGTTTATGTTTGATCGTCTGATTGTGTGTGTGAGGGTTTATGCTGATCGTTTGATTGTGTGTGTGTCAAAGGGCTTTATCAGATGATGATGGGGGCAAACATCAATCAAGGGCAATCATCAATCAAGGTCTTGCTAAATGGATCGAGAAAGAGCAGTGTCTTGCAGCTGAGAGATCGAGATAGAGATAGAGATAGAGCAGAGAGCAGCGGATGAAGTAGCCAAAATGAAATTGAATGAAAAGGGAAAGTGGACTAATCTGTAATAGTGGACCCAAAAAACGACGTAGTTCAGGCACGAAATATATATAAATAAGGGGAGGGAAAAAGTGGAGGGAAGAGAAAAAATTGGAGGGAAGGGGGAAAGGAAAAAATTAGAGGGAAGGGCAATACCAGCGCTTCTCTTCTAAGCGCTGGTACTAGTACTCCAATACCAGTGCTTAGAAGTTAAGCGCTGGTACTATTACCCTAATACCAGCGCTTCGATTTTAAGCGCTGGTATTATTACCCCTATACCAGCGCTTTTCTAAAAGGCGCTGGTACGTTACGCCAATACCAGCGCTTTTTAATGAAGTGCTGGTAATTAATACTCAACACCAGCGCTTCTACTTAGACCCACGTTTCATACGAAACCCCCTTCTCAATCAACATGGCCCTGGAGTTCAAGCTCCAATTCCTCCAATGGTCCTTCGTGATCATTACAATCTTCATGCGTATCATGTACCTACTTGTATTGTGTTGCCTAATTTTGAAGCGAATCAATATAAAATCAAGCCTGAGACTATTCAAATGTATCCACTCTTTTATGGCTTAGATGATAAGGAACCCTATAAACATCTAAATGAATTCTTTGAAATATGTTCCACCGTAAGATATATGGATGTTCCGGAGGAAATTCTTAGGCTACTTCTCTTCCCTTTTACACTAAAAAATAAAGCAAAACATTGGTTCAATACTTTGGGGGCAAATTCAATAACATCTTGGGCACAAATACAAAATGAATTTTTGAAAAAAATTTACCCCATAAGTTTGACTAATGTAATGCGTGCTTCAATTAGAGAATTTTCTCAAAAGGAAGGGGAGTGGTTGCATGAGGCTTGGGAAAGATTGAATGACTTGCTAAGCAAATGTCCACATCATGGCATTCCAAAATGGCAAGTGGTTCAATATTTCTATGAGAGCCTATTTGACATTCATAAAGACATAGTCGATACATCATGTGGAGGATCATATTTTGGAAAACATGAGGATGACATATGGCATCTCTTTGAGAAAATGAGCAAAAACTCTTTACAAAAATATTATACTTCTCATTTTGACCATAATTCAAAAGAAAAGAAGAGAGGCTTGCAAGTATGTCAAATAGAGAATCCATTAGAAATTGTAGCCGAGGTTAAGACTCTCTCTTAAAAACTTGATCAATTCTTGTTGAGTCAAAAACCAGTTATAAAGTCACCTTCTTTTCATCATACTGCTCATCTAAGTGAGCCATGCATAACATGTTCAAGTGTTTTACATACCACTTTCGCTTGTCCCCATGGACATGCATTCAATGAGCACTTTGAATAAGTCAATGCTACATTCGCTTACCCTTACTCAAGTGCATATGTTCCAATGTGGAATGAAAATTTGAATTTCCATCAAGCTAAAAAATTTCAAGGCAAATATATTCCACCTCATAAAAGGGAAGGAGGTTCCCAAGGATTTGTTTCTTTTTCATCTCATCAAAGATCCAATCACTTTTCACATCCTCAAATATATGATTCGCAAATTTGCTCTTATTATCCTCATGCGCTTTCTAGCAATTCTACATTTGAAGATAAGGTTTTGGTGGCCTTGGGTAGCTTAGAAAGGAATACCAACTTGTTGCATTCCCACTCTCAATCCATATTAAAGCTAGAATCCCAAATTGGGACCATAGCTAATGCATTGAATGCAAGAGAAATTGGGAAATTACCTAGTCAACCCGAGAGGAATCCAAAAGTCCAATTTTGTGTGGAAGCAAACCCTACATCGGGGTGTTCTTCCCAACCTCAAGTGCAAGCCATCACCACCTTAAGAAGTGGTAAGCAAGTGGACAATAGGGTTGAACTACCAAAGGAAGATAGTGAATCGGTGCAACTTAAAGTTGTCACCCATCCAATTCCCAATTCCACTCCTACTTTCTTAAATGAAAATGTTCCTAACCAAAATTCTCAATTATCTCCATCATCTCCCTAAATTGCAAAGTCTCATGAGCCAAAAGCTCCGTTCCCTTATGCTCTAAAAGAAACTTCGCCTTATGGGAGGTAAGAAGGGAAAATACATGATATGATGAAAGTTTTTAAGCAAGTAAACATCAAACTTCCTCTTTTGGATGCCATTAAGAAAATTCCACCTTATGCAAAATTCTTGAAAGATCTTTGCACACAAAAGAGGAAAAGTAAGGGACCAAGCCCTAAAAAAGTGTTTCTCACGGAGCAAGTGAGCTCCATTATTCAACAAAACACTCCACCTAAGTTCAAAGATCCTGGTGCTCCGACCATCTCATGTGTGATTGGGAACCATGAAGTTCGTAAAGCTCTTCTTGACTTAGGTGCAAGTGTTAATTTGATTCCTTACTCCGTGTATGTCCAACTAGGTTTGAATGAGTTGAAGCCAACCTCGGTGGTGCTTCAATTGGCAGATAGATCCATCAAAACACATCGGGGCATGGTTGAGGACATCCTCATCAAAGTTGATAAGTTCTACTTCCCAGTTGATTTTGTAGTTCTTAATACTTAACCGGTTGCCAACCCCACTAATCACATCCCAATCATCTTGGGAAGACCATTCCTTGCCACTGTAAATGCAACAATCAATTGTAGATCCGGGGTTATGGACCTTTCGTTTGGAAACATGATGGTCAAGCTTAATGTTTTTAACTTAAGTCGACATCCCGTGGATGAAGACGAGTGTTGTCTTGTAGATGTGTTGGATGAGATTGTTGAGGGATCAATTCCTACCATGGTCATGAAACAACCAATTGAGGATAACCTTTCATCTCTTCTATCCGATAATCCTCTTGCTTCTTGTCTTCTTGAACTGTATGGAAATTGTGGGTTTGATGATGAAAAATTAATGGATGAAGTAAGCAATCTCATGGAATCTGTTGCAAGCTTAGATTTTCTATCTTGAAAAACTCTAATAGAATCTCTTCCTCCACTCTCTAGCACTCTACCGGTCTCATTTTTCGTTTCTCCACCAACTCTTGAGCTTAAAACTCTACCTTCCAATCTTAAGTATGCATTCTTAGGACCAAAAGAGACTCTTCCAGTTATCATTTCTTCAAATCTTGAAAAAGACCAAGAAGATGCTCTTTTAAATGTGCTTAAAGAAAATAAGGAAGCTATATGATGGAGTGTGGCAGATCTTAAGGGAATTGACCCTTCTATTTGTATGCATCGCATACTTATGGAAGATAATGCAAAACCCTTTTGGGATGCTCAAAGGCGACTTAACCCCAACATGAAAGAGGTAGTAAAAAAGGAAGTTGTCAAACTCTTAGATGCAAGAATCATTTACCCAATCTTCGATAGCAAATGGGTGAGTCCAACTCAAGTAGTTCCCAAGAAATCGGGGATTACCGTGGTTGAGAATGCAAAGGGTGAGGAAATCTCTAAGCGTATCACCAATTCATGGCATGTATGCATTGATTACCTTAAATTAAATGCTGCCACTAGAAAAGATCACTTCCCTTTGCCATTCATTGATCAAATTCTCGAAAAATTGGCCGAACAACAGTACTATTGCTTCCTTGATGGCTATTCGGGGTACAACCAAGTAGCCCTTGACCCATTGGACCAAGAGAAAACCACCTTTACTTGTCCATTCGGCACATTTGCTTATAGACGGATGCCTTTTGGTTTGTGCAATGCCCCCGCCACATTCCAAAGGTGTATGATATTAATTTTCTCGGACATAGTGGAAGACTATCTAGAAGTGTTCATGGATGATTTTTCTGTCTTTGGGTCTTCATTTGATGTATGCCTCAAAAATTTGGATCTAGTGCTTAAGAGATGTCGTGAAACAAACCTTATTCTTAGTTGAGAAAAGAGCCATTTTATGGTTTAAGAGGGTATTGTTTTGGGTCACGCCATCTCAAAGAGAGGGATTGAGGTAGATAAAGTGAAAGTGGAGCTTATTGCTGAATTGCCACCACCTTCAATGGTGAGAAAGGTTCGCTCCTTTCTAGGTCATGCCAGCTTTTATCGCCGATTCATAAAAGACTTTAGCAAAATTACTCGACCCTTGTGCAATCTCCTTGCCAATGAAACTCCTTTTGTCTTTGATCAAGCATCCCTAGATGCTTTTCATAAATTGCGTGATTTATTGTCTTCTGCTCCTATCATGCAACCTCCCAATTGGTCATTGCCATTCGAAATTATGTGTGATGCTTCTGATTATGCCATGAGAGTGGTTTTGGGCCAAAGAGTAGGAAAGCTTCTTTGTGCCATCTACTATGCAAGTAAAACTTTCTCGGGAGCTCAATTGAATTACTTGCCGTAGTGTATGCTCTTGATAAATTTCGATCCTATCTTTTAGGCTCTAAGGTGGTTGTTTACTCCGATCATGCTGCCTTGAGACATCTTTTGACAAAGAGAGAAACAAAACCTAGACTGATTAGAAGGATTTTGCTTCTTCAGGAATTCAATTTTGAAATCAAGGACAAGAAAGGCACCAAGAATGTGGTTGCCGATCATCTCTCTAGGTTATCAATAGAACCTTTCCCTAGTCCACCAATTCGTGATTCTTTTCCGGATGAACAACTTTTCCAAGTTTCTAATGGACAAATGCCCTGGTTTACCGACATTGTGAATTATTTGGCAATTGGCAAACTTCCAACTTCGTGGTCAAAGAACGAAAAGAATCATTTCTTTGCCAACATCCGGAATTACTATTGGGAAGATCTTGTCTTGTACCGTTATTGTCCGGATCAAATTGTGAGGAAATGCATTTCGGAGAGCGAAATTCCAAGTGTCCTTGTGTTTTGTCATACACTTGCATGTAGTGGGCATTTTAGTGCAAAGAAGACCGCCTTGAAGGTTCTTCAAAGTGGGCTCTTGTGGCCCACTATCCATAGAGATGCCTATAATTTTTGCATGTCATGTGAAAGATGTCAAAAGATGGGTTCAATGTCGAAAAAAGATATGATGCCTTTGACCAACATTCTTGTTGTAGAAATTTTTTACGTATGGGGCATTGATTTTATGGGTCT